AGCTACTCGGGAGGCTGAGGCAGGAGAATTGCTTGAAGCTAGGAGGTGGAGGTTGTGGTGAGCTGAGATCACGCCACTGTACTCCAACCTGGGCAACAAGAGTGAAACTCCATCTCAAAAGAAAAGAAAAGAAAAGAAATCAAGTCTTGAGGCATCATCATTGTTATATCATGTGCAGGTGTCTATCCTGGATGCCACCCAGCTATGCCAAGTGCAGGGAGAAACTCCCTATGGGCACCGTGGCTGGGTCCAGAGCTCAGAGGCTGGAGCTCTGAGAACTGGGCTGGAGCCCAACCATGATGGATGCCTCTAGCTCTGGGGAAGAGACACACATCTGTGGGGACAGAGTGACTACCTTTCCAGGTTGCCCAGTCCTCGGGAGTGGCGCAGTGCCCGAGCACTGGGGCAGAGGTGGATCCCATAGTCCCTCAGTGGGAGCTCCAAAGCCTCCCGTTTTCCTCTCTTCCTCTTCCTGGGTTGGGATTTGGGGGATGAGATCTTCCTGGTGGGCTGGAGTCTGTCCCAGAAGTCAACAGCTCGCCCTGGGGCCGCAAGACCCCCTTAGATAAGGTAGACCCTCGGCAAGACTCCAGCCACACATGAGAGGACAGAACATAGCTCCTGAGTCCCACTCACTGCGGCCACCTGCCCCCATGGGTTTGCACCGATTTGCATATAGGTGTGTAGCTTCCTACTGGCGACTGTAAGAAATTGCCACAAATTCAGTAACTTAAACCAGCACAGCTGTCTTATCTTTCAGTTCTGGAGGTCAGAGTCTGAAACCAGTTCACTGAGTTGAAACCAAGGTGTTGTCAGGGCTGGGTCCCTCTGGGGCTCTGGAGGAGAATCCGTTTTCTTGACCTTTCCAGCTTCTAGAGGCTGCTGCTTTCCTTCGCTCAAAACCCCTTCTTCCCCCTTCAAAGCCAGTGGTGTTGGGCAAGTCCTCATGCTACCGTCTTTTGTCGTTCGATTTTAAGGCTTTGTGTGGTTAGATGTGGATCATCTCCCATCTCCAGATCCACAGCCTGAGTCTCAGCTGCAGCATCCCCTTGCCACATAAAATTATGCTTGTGGGTTCCAGCTGTTGTGCCGTGGACATTCTTGGGGCCATGGTTCGGCCCACCACAGTTTGCCCATGTGCACGGCTGCACATGTGTGCATATGCATGGGAGTCTTACTTTGCATAAATGGAATTGCCCTGTGTCTGCAAGTTCCTCTTTCCTTTATCCTGCATCTCAGGAGTCTCCCTAACTCCAGGGAGATGCCCTGGCTCTTCGTGTGGTTCTGGTCTTTTCCTCAGCCCCTCCTGACTGAAGCACCTGTAGGTATTTCTGCTTCTCTGTATAACAGATGGCCCTGCAGACACCTGCTCAGCCCTGACTGGTGGGTTCATCGCGCAGACTTTGTTTATCGGACACCAGCTGAGCTGCCCGCGTGGGCCTGACGTGGGTTTTGGGTCAGCGCTGACAGTGGAGAGATTGGATGTTGTAAATGTGTCTGAGTGTCAGCAGGAAGTCTCCACCCAGGGACGGCCGTTTCTTAGGTTGTTTTTAGCCCCTCCCTGAGGCTCTGCAGCCTTGGGCATTGGTGGAAGTGTTTGTTCGGAGGCTGTTTTTCTTTGATGCCAAGATGTCCCCCCAGGCACTTCACCATGTCAGTGCCACGGTGTGATGGGGTGATGACGGTGGCAGGTTGATACCCCCGGGCAGTTCACTGTGTCAGTGCCACGGTGTGATGGAGTGATGATGGTGGCGGGTTGATACCCCGGGCAGTTCACTATGTCAGTGCCACAGTGTGATGAGGTGATGATGGTGGCGTGTTGATGCCCCTGGGCACTTCACTGCGTAAGTGCTGTGGTGTGATGGGGCAATGATGATGGCGCGCTCTTCAAGCTCTGGATCGGGTTCTGGAAGCTCTGTGTGAGTCTTACCGAGGTGGTTATTTTCTCTCGTCACAGGAAATTGGGCTGAGCGAGGAGCCTTAGGGTCTGTCACTGGCAGCGACTCCCTCGCCCGCAGGTGCGCGGTGGTTCTGGCTCAGCAGACCCCACAGGGCTGTCAGGGCGTGTCGTCCCCTCTGTCTGCTGAATGGCTCCAGCTCGGGTCCGTTTGGCTGATGTCAGTGTTGCAGTGCTCACTCACAGCCATTTACCTGCTGGTTTTCCGTTAGCCTTTGGTGTTACTTTAGCTAACGTTTTTGACAAGGTGGAGCTGGATTTTTCTTGCTGCTGCTGTTTTTCATCCACTGCTTGCCTTGTGCCCACCAATGTGGTCTGCATGTCCTGTGCCCCAGGCGCCAAAACCGCCGGCTTGCTGGCACCTGCGCTGCCATCTCGTGCCACTGTGGTCACTGACTGCAGGTTCTGGCTTTTGTCCTTCTTCTGCCTCTTCTGTATCAGTTGTGACATCTCCGTTTAACGAGAGTCCTGCACGTGCGTGCTTGAAATGGAGGCTTTCAGGGTCCCTGAAAGCTTTCACAGAACCACTGACGTGGCCTCCACTTGCTGGCATGGACCTGGGCAGCTGTGCAAGTGCCACGCAGATCTCCAGGGCACTTGGTCCTGGGAGTCACAGGGCAGCTTTTGTGCCCGCACCCTGAGGTCTCAGCTACCATGGCATAGATGCTGTGGGTTTTTGGGCTTTGAGGTCACGCCCTGGGGATGCCGCAGCCCACCTGCCCTTGGCCCCCATGGGCCCCCAGCCGCTGTATGTTTGGATTTCTGAACAGGCCCAGGTGGAGCTGAAGGACAGGCTGTGCTGGCTCCCCTGGCCTGAGGGAAACGTCCCGTCTCAGAGCCATTTTCTCTCGGAGCACCCATGAGATTGCTTTGATTTCTAGTTTGCATCAACCCTGTGTCTTGGAAGCTGTTGGGCCTCTGAGTGCTGAACTGGGTGTTGCCTGAGCAACATGAAACCCACCTGGCTGGACTAGGCTTCCCCAATTCGGCCTGCCCCATGCAGGCAGGAGCAGCCCTGGCTCTGCAGGACTGGAGGTGGCTGTGTGGGAGGGCAGGGGGCTGGCCAGGCAGCCTTGGATCTCTCCTCAGGACCCCTTCAAAGGGGCGGCAGAGACTCCAGGCCCCGTGCCCCAGGGAGTCAGGCTGGGCTGGTTCTGAGGAGCGGCTGGAGCGCCTGGTGCTGACGGGTGAACTCGGGGGCAGCTGGGCGACTGCCAGGGCATCTGGCCCCCAGGCCGAAAGTCCCATTTCCTGATCTTAGCACAGCCCTGGCGTGGACATGTGGGGCCTGGGCACTTCTTCTAAGAAAGGATCATTGTAACAGCTGCCATCTGGGTAGATGGCAGCCTCTGTCTGAGGGGGAGATGACTGCTGGCCCCAGAGCCCAGGCTCAGCCCATCGGGACCCCTCTGCCCCTAGCCTCAGGGTGCAGGCGCCGGACCAGGCTGCTGTCCACAGAGCCCATTGTCCACTCTGCGCCTGGCCCCGCTTCCAGTCGGCACGAGGGTAGGGCCCACAGGGAGTCCAGGCCGCCACACCGCCTCATGCTGAAGTCAGGGCCTCGAGGGGGCAGCAATGACGCTGGAGGTGCCCACAGCGTGTGCCAGGGCCGGGGGGTCTGCACTCTTGTTTCCTCTGGTTCTGTGTTCTGTGAGCTCTTTGGAGGTACTGCTTCCCTCGGGATGTCCAGGCTCAGCACTTCTTCCCTTGTGTCTTGTCCCAGGTCAGCCTGGCCCAGTCACAGGGCCCCCAGGCCACAGGTACACGCACACAGGTGCTCACCCCCGCCTTCCTCAGGACGCCTGGGCATCAGCAGCCCCTTCCCACAGGAGAGCTCGACCAGGAGCCAGCCCGCCGCACAGGCGTCCCGGAGTAACCGTTACACTCTGTCGGAAGCAGACCGTGTCCAGTCTGTCTGGGGCCTCACGGTCACGGGAGTAGGGCCTTGGGGCAAGTCCCTGGCCCAGACTGTGGCCGCAAAGCCCGTGCTCTGCCTGGCATGGCAGGTGTGCTGGGAAGTCACTCTGAGCAGGGTCTGTCCTTGAGTGGGTGCCGCCCCCTCCTGTGGGCAGGAAACGAGGCGTGAGAACTCCGGGCACTGGGGCTGCGTCCTGGCTTGGGCTCCCTGGGAGAGGGATGGACAGGGCTCCTTCTGACCCTGGGCTACTGAGTTGAAGTGAAGTCAAGCTCCGCCTGGGCAGGAATGAGTGGAGTGAGTCACCCAGCGCTGTAGGGCATTTGCAGGGAGCAGCGGGGCTGGTGGGGAGACTGTGGCACGTTTGCAGGTATGTCAGGCGTGCAGCACGTTGGCAGGTACATCAGGCGTGCAGCCCCTCCAAGGGGTGACTGTGGCCCCGAGGGGAATCAGCATGGTGGGGTGGGGAGACACTACTTGTCTTTGCCACATGAGGCACCGCGCCCAGTGAGTGAGCTGGCGCCCTGACAGCGCTGGGTGAAATCCCACGTGGTGCCTCTCAGACGCCACGTGGCCCCCCGGCCGAGGCAGCTGCTCTGGGCGAGGCCCCGTAGCCGAGGCTTCCAAGAACATTGGGGTGTGGAGTCAGCCTCCTTCCTTCCCTGCGGTGGAGCTGCGGCTTCACAGTGGAGGCCACGCTGGGTTGCCCGCCTGGGCTGCTCCAGCAGGGGCAGAGTGGGCGTGCGGGGCACAGGGCTGCCAGCCCCAGCCCCTCACAGCTCCTTGCTTCACCGGGGGTGCCGGCCAGTCCCTGGCCCCTTCTCCCCACTGGCTGTGCCCATCCCTGCTGAAAGCAGCGAAGGGGGGGCCTGTGGACACCATGTCACCTGCAGGCAGGTTTCTGCATGGAGCGCGCCCGTCGTTTGGGAATGAGTGAACCAGGGTGGCCGTTGGGTGGCCATTGGGTGGTTGAGCCCAGGGCATCAGGGCAGGCTGCCAGGCGCGTGGAAAGCCCTCTCAGACTCAGTTTCCCCTTTGTGCCCCTGCCTGGCCGCCTCTCCAGGCCGCATCAGTGGCCCCTGGTACTGTCCCGCACAGCCACCTCACCAGCTGTCTTCCTTTTTGCAGAGAGCGTCGGCGAGGAGGTGGGGCTTCTGCAGCTCCTTGGGGACCCTCCGCCCCAGCAAATCACCCAGACGGATGACCCCGACGTCGGACTGGCCTACGTCTTTGGGCCAGAGGCCAACAGCGGCCAAGTGGCCCGGTACCACTTCCCCAGCCTCTTCTTCCGCGACTTCTCACTGCTGTTCCACATCCAGCCGGCCACGGAGGGCCCAGGGGTGCTGTTCGCCATCACGGACTCGGCGCAGGCAGTGGTCTCGCTGGGCGTGAAGCTCTCTGGGGTGCGGGACGGGCACCAGGACATCTCCCTGCTCTACACGGAGCCAGGCGCAGGCCAGACCCACACAGCCGCCAGCTTCCGGCTCCCCGCCTTCGTCAGCCAGTGGACACACTTAGCACTCAGTGTGGAGGGTGGCTACGTGGCCCTCTACGTGGACTGTGAGGAGTTCCAGAGAATGCCGCTTGCTCGGTCCTCACGGGGTCTGGAGCTGGAGCCCGGCGCCGGGCTCTTCGTGGCTCAGGCAGGAGGAGCGGACCCTGACAAGTTCCAGGTAACCCCCACTATACTGTTGCTGGGGGGCTGCAACAGCCAGGGTAGGGTGGGGTGGCGGTGGCCACTGGGACAGGGACAGAGCTACAGCCTGAAGAGGAGAGCCCCACCCCAGCTGTGGTCAGCCTTGGCCTCCGGTGCAGGCCTCCCAGGTTCTTGGCCGGCCTGGCTGGGGTAACATTCACTTTCTTGGCTCTCTGGCTTCTGTGCCCCCAGGAAGGGCTGCCCTGGGCTTCTGTGGTTTCTCTGAGACACCAAGGCCCAGCCTAGGAGGGCCCCATTTGAACGACTTTGTAACTAGACATCCACCCCAGCCATGACCCCATGACCCAGAGACACCCCCAGGCCTGTGCCAAGCCCCATGGTGAACTGGGGTTCCCGACCTCTGACCGGCCGGTTGGGTGAGTGGGGACCGAGTCTGGGCCCAGCCACAAGCCTCGGGGCCCCATGCAGAATGAAAGCTGGGGTCCTTGTTGAAAACGGTGAGTGATCCAAAGCTGGCAGCAGCAGGGTGTCGGTCCCAGCAGGGTTCTCCTGTGGTGACTCCACACCGGCTGGGACCAGGGGCTCAGGGCGGCCCTGCAGGTCAGCACCTTTAGCAAGGGTGCGGCAGCCCCAGGCCTGTGAGACTCCACTTCGGAGCACGTGGTGGGATCCCCCAGCGGTGATGGCGTGTGGCCGTCTCCACCTGAGTCTCCGGGAAGTCCCTCCAATGCGCCTTCATTCCTTGGGGCTGGGGGAGCGGACAGAGCCCTGAACCCATGTGGGGTCTATGTCCAAAGCCCCTGCATTTCTGGGAACCTTTGGCTGGAAACAGCCGTGTGGGTGACCTCAGCTGGCACTGTCTCCCAAGTCCCTGAATTCTAACATTCGAGCTGGCCCGCAGCTGGGACGCCCCTGCCCTGACCGGCCACAGGGGACAGAAGGTTAACTGTTGCCCTGACAAGGGCTGTTTGTTTGAAGTTGTTCTAAGTCCTGGTGTCTGGGGGTTCTGCAAGCTGACCTTTCACCTTTGGCAGGAACTTTTAACCCTCAGAGCTCAGGAGCCGCTAGAACGTTGACACCAAACTGGGCCTCTTTGTTTTCCTCTTGATCACAAACATGATTGCCGGGAAAGAAGTCAGAGTCGCCCCCTCCTGTGAGAGGCAGTTTGTTGTGTGAATCCCCAGCCATTTCTTGGTGGAATAAAGTCGCCCACAAGTGCTGTACATCTTTAACGCTGTAAGGAAAGGCGGCCAAGTGCCGAGAGCTGGGGTACGTGGGTACACAGCTGTGCCCGATGGTGCTGGCGAGAGCCGGGCCGCCGCCCTGCAGTGAAGGCCTCCTCATCAGCGAAGTCCCACTTCCCAGTTAGATGTGTAGGAAAAGGGGGTCTGGGTGTTTAATTTTGTATTTCTTGGACTGTTAGTGAAGACAGACTTCCATGTTGCCACTTGTTTATTGTATTTCTTCCTTTGTGACTGACTGGTTTATGTTCTTTGTGTTTTTCGGTGGGCCCAACTCTCATTGATTTATACAAACTCCTTACATGTAAAAGAAACTGCTCTTTGGTTTCGCATGCTGCAGACTTTATTTCCACCTTGTCTTTTTTTTTCTTTTTTTTTTTTTTTTTTTGACCATTGGGATTTGATGTATGGTTTTTTTGGGTTTTTTTGTTTTGTTTGTTTTAGATGGAGTCTCGCTCTATTGCCCAGGTTGGAGTGCAATGGGGTGATCTTGGCTCACTGCAACCTCTGCCTCCTGGGTTCATGTGATTCTCCTGCCTCAGCCTCCCCAGTAGCTGGGATTACAGGCACCTGCCACCACGCCTGGCTAATTTTTGTATTTTTAGTAGAGATGGGGTTTCACCATATTGGTCAGGCTGGTCTCGAACTCCTGACCTCAGGTGATCCACCTGCCTGAGCCTCTCAAAGTGCTGAGATGATAGGCGTGAGCCACTGCGCCCGGCTGGGATTTGATGTGCTTATGTGGTTAAATCTGGCCTGGAGAAGACACCATGATTTACAACAGCCCAGTGAAACCTTGGAAGGTCAGAGAGCTGGAACAGGAGGGAGCTAGAGGGCGCTGGGTCTGGACCTGGGTGGCGCGCAGCAGGCCGTGTGCTGCTGGGCGCGGGTGGCGTGCCGCGGGCCGTGTGCTGCTGGGCGTGGGTGGCGCGCCGCGGGCCCTGTGCCGAAGGCCACGTCAGTTGATCTCTGTGTCAGGTCCCTGCAGGCCTCAGGTGTCAGGAACTCTCTCTTTGGGTCTTAGATGAGATTCCAGCTGGGGAGAGGAGAAGCACGCTTGTGCATAGAGAAGAAGGTGGAATTGTTCAGCACAAGATTTTCTCAGACGTCTGAATTGAGATTCTTGGGAAAGAAACATTCGAGTTGTGTGACTCATCATTTCTGGCAGAAACAAGCACAGAGCTTTGGGAGCAGGGAGGAAACCGAGGCTTCCTCCTCCTCAGACTCCACGAGGCTGCAGTGCCCCCAACGCTGCCACAGATGGTGCCTGGGACCCCCGGCCTCCGCGGGGTCCGACAGAGCCCTCCGGAGCGTTGCTTGTGTTCCTCGTCGTAAGAGTCCTGGGGCGTTGTTGGTCTTTTCAGGTTCACTTTCTTGGGTCGGGTTTGTCAGTGGCCATCTCCCGGGAAATCACGCACCCCCCAGCTGTGCTGTTGTGAACGTCATTTCCAGCTGTGTCCTGATTTCCAGGGCGCTGAGGCTGCAGCATGTTGGGAAGCATTTTACACGCTTTTCCCTAACAGGATTCCTGTGATCTCTGTTTCGGGTGTCTCCGGATTTCATAACTTTCAGTCCTAAGTCCCTTAAATATTTGCAATGGGCCTGTGGCTTTTGCACTAGTGCCATCTGCCCCACCCCTGGAGCCAGTGGCCGCCACGGGCTCGGAGCTGCTCTGCCCTCTGTAGCTGCCCCCGACCCAGGCACCCTGTAGCCCCGTGCAGAAGGCATCGGCACCCTCGGGAGCACCCTCAGGAGAGCGCTGTGGTCGGAGAGCATGGCGGCCACCTGTCAGGTTGTCAGGGCCTCACGGGCGTGTCTGCGTGGGGATGGATGTCAGGAATGCCCAGCCCCTCCCCCACACCAAGACCACCTAAGATGCACCCCTGGCACCCCTCCCCAGCCCGGGCTGCCCCAGGGCTAGAATGCAACACCAGCTCCTCCCCAGGCATGACCTGGAGCCTCTTGAATGTGAAGGCTGCTGCCCTGCCCCCACGCAGCAGGTTCTGGTGGACAGTGGACCCTGGAACCCGCGGTGCTGCCCCGGCCTACCCGGGGCACTGTAGGCAATGCCCCTCCCCTGCGGTATGACGCTGAGAAGCGCTGGTGCGTTCTGTGGGAAACCCGTGCACACCCAGGGGGCTCACGGGGTCCACATGCCCCATGCATGAACTCACACACACATGCATACGTGATCTTGTGTTTGCACACACGTGTCCACGGAGATGCATGGTCTCACACACATGTGCCCATACACTCAGCACTCACACCCCATCCTGCAGGCTCAGGCCCCACTCCTGAGCCACCTGCCCGGGCTTTGGGGCCCAGCTGGCGTGGGGAGCCCCAGGCTCCACCTGGCCTCACTTGGCTCTGAAATCTAGGCCAGGATGCAGAACCCGCAGCGCGGCCAGTGGAGCCCCTGGTCCTGTGCAGAGCCCCCACCTGGCAGCCCCTCTTCCTGCCAAAGCCCCTCCCAGTGTCCTCTCCCCCAGACGAGCTGCTGGCTTGAGGCTTAGGACATTGCGCCCTCCTGTGTCCCTGCCCAGCGTCCCCAGCCTGCGTCTCACGAGACACTGCCGGCCGCGCCAGGACCTAAGAGGGCAGGGGCAGGCACCCTGGCACTCAGCCCAGGACTGAGGATGCCGGAGGGAGC